TCTTCCGCCCACAATCCAATATTTCTGGATCTGGGGCTAAGACAGAGATATGAAGGCACCTTCACGAGGAGGTTCACTGACTGGGAGCCCTTCCGAGCAGTAATGCTAGGAAACATCGCGCTCCCAGTCATCGAAACCAACCATGATCTGGAGGCGGCAATCCTCGCCCTTGAAACTGACATTAAAAACTCCCAGACTCAGATTACGACGGGGACCATTGTCCCCCGACTGACAAACCCCCGGGGCACCCCCCCGATGACATTAAAAACTTAATACGTGACATACGACATGCGAAACGGCTTGCTACCAGCACCCGCCTCCTCTGACACAGACATGACTTAAACGTACTTAACAGACGGGTGAAGGCGGCTCTGGGTGAACTGGCCCAGGACAACTGGGCTAGGCCACTAGGTCACTGGATCCACAAGACAACAGCCTCTGGAAAACGCAGAGGGCCCTGCGACAGACTGCTCGCCGTAAAATTCTTCCAATCCACGGTAGTGTAGGGGTGGTTTACACGAACCAGGAAAAGGCCGAGGCTTTCGGCTTAGACTGCCTCAGCTGCCCGACGAAGACGAGGAGTTCGAGATAGTGGCAGAGCGCCCGGAGCCGACAATATACATAACACGACACTCAAACGACTACCACACAAGGGCCTCATGGCCCTACTAAACATAACAAACGCGACACTCAGACTAAGACACTTCCCTACCCGCTGGAAAACAGCAAACATAATCCTTATCCCAAAACCCAACAAAGATCACACCATCCCATCCAACTACCGGCCCATTAGCCTGCTCCCGGCTATGAGCAAAGTGGTAGAAAAAATTATCCTAACCCGTCTAAGAACCCACTCCCAAGAACTGCAAGTCATTCCAGACGAGCAGTTCGCCTTCCGACCCAATCACTCCACTGAACTCCAAATCCTTCGCCTTACCGAGCACATCACGGCGGCCTTCAACAGGGGACAGTACACTGGTGCTGTCTTCCTGGACGTCGCAAAGGCCTTCGATACGGTTTGGCATGAAGGCCTACTGATGAAAATGCTCACCAACCAATATCCCATATCCTTTACCAAACTCATAAAATCCTACCTACACCACCGAAAATTCCGCATCCAAATCCAAGATTCCCTTTCCACCACCCGTCCCATGGAGGCCGGTGTCCCCCAGGGCACCGTCCTGTCCCCACACCTATACACCATTTACAACTCCGACATCCCACATCCCCCCAACACCAACATATACTTATACGCCGACGACCTGACAATCACATCCCAATCCGTAGATCCTAGATATTCCGTCTACCTCCTCCAAAGCTCCTTAGACCAACTTGAAACCTGGTGCAACAGGTGGAAAGTCAAAATTAATCCCAACAAAAGTTCGGCTATCCTTTTTACCAAACGAAAAATCCCACAAAACCTCGACAGACTGACACTATCCCAGGAACCCATCTCCTGGAATCGACAAACACGATACCTGGGCGTGACGATGGACCAGCGTCTCACGTGGAAACCGCACATCGTGGAGACGGTGGCGCGAGCGAAGACCACCAGGGCTAGGCTCTATCCCTTACTCAAAGGTGGAAACACCCTCAGTTTAAGGAATAAGCGAACGCTTATCAAGGTGGTACTTCAACCGCAGCTAACCTACGCCTCCACGGCGTGGGGTCACGCGGCAAAAAGCCACTTAAAGTCATTACAGGCTGTGGAAAACATAGCCCTCCGCACGGCCACCGACGCGCCCTGGTACGTAAGAAACACTGACATATTACGAGACTTACAATACACAAACGCTACACAGACAATAAGACAAAACGCGGAGAAACGATTTGACGTAGCCGCTAGACATGACAATCCCCTCCTCAGGCAAGCCGTTGACTACGTACCCGACGTGACCGACAAACACAAAAGACCTAGACACCAACTTTTTGACCCTGGGTGACCACCCCAATGACCCCCCCCCTGCCCGCTAACCTTTTCTGTTTCAGAGACAGCCAGGATCAAGAAACGAAGACAACGACACACACACACACACACACACACACCCCCATACCCTCCTTAACCCTCCCCTCCCGCGCTAGCCTAAGGGCCACCTTAGCAAAGCGCATCCTAGGCTACATAGCCGCACTACCCTACCCAACCATACCACACATAAACATGACACCACCCTCGGGGTTTACACAGACGAGCCGGTGAAGCAAGAAGAGCGCCAGAAGAAAGGACCCTAGCCGGCGGGGCCCAGCCAGGAGAAAAGGAAGTCCCACAAAGCGCCTACACCGGCCGCATTTGCGGTCGGGGTAGACGAAGGCTGTCCAGGCCTACACGAGATGAGGCAGGATAAAGAGGGATAATCCCCCTCGATCCTAAATCATTGAGGCCAATTTCTAGCCATGGAATAATGGCGGCGGGTTTATAAGTAAAAATGTATATCTTTACACCCTATGGATACTTAAGGTGTTATTGTTTGAGGATTTTTATTAATTAAGGGTAATGTATTGATGAAATTAGCTGAAGCAAATTTTTACGTGTCCAATCAGTAGCTAGAAATTCCACATATTGCTAATGCATGAGACTTCGTGTTTATTACAAAATGTATCTAGTTTTGTTACTATAGATACATTGACAACCTTAGAAGTTTCATGGTGAACTCTTACTGTTATATACTAAAAGGAGTCGAATAGTTTCCCTTTATATATTTTTTGTAAATGTCACAACTTCAATGTGTTCTAGGATCTTGACTAGCTTTGCATTGTATAAAATAAGACTTGATATTTAGCATACGTTAAAAAATAAATTGAATCTGGTAGGTACCTTGAATCACGAAACACAGGTTAATATGATTGATATGATTTATTTTTATTATTATTTATATATAAGTAGGTATTAGTTAAGGTAGATAACTCGTTATCATTTTTATGTATGTATATTTGTACATAATGTGTATTTCTATATGAATTTTTGTGAAGATGTATTGATTTTAAATTTCAAAAAATGTTTGCAATTTTATATAAATAAAACACTTTTATTCTCTTCTGGATTACGCTTTATTGTACCCATTTTATTTTACATTCACTATCTAATATTTTCATAAATAACAATTAACAAGTTGTATAATTAGATATACAAAATAACAATTGGTAATTTTGCTCTGTTAATAGTAC